GGAAGGTCCGCCAATAAATGGGTTGCCCGGTTGGCGGCGGCGAGCGCCTCGAATGTCAACAAACCTGCTTCATCATGGCCCCCAAAACAGGATCCAAAAAACCAGTAGAAACATGGCGGCCAGAAAGGGACCTCGACTGTACAAGAAACAAAGTGGGACGCAGAGAGAGAAAAAGCATGTATTAACACTTACGCTCATGCTAGTGCGTCGCAAATCTGCTTGCAAAACCTCTGCGGGCAGCAGCAAAATTCTCCGATGGCTGACTCCACTTTTGGGTCCAAATCTGGATCCCAAAACGGGGCCCAAGCAAAGACTTAAAAGAAGGGATTTGGACCCAAAAATGGGGTCAGCCATCGGAGAATTTCGCTGCTGCCCGCACATGTTGTGCAAGCAGATTTGCGACCCTGCAGCTTGAACATGAATGTCAACTCATACCTTTTTCTCTTTGTGCGTCCCAAGTCCGGTTTGCTACTGTCAAGGTCCCTTCATCGCAGCCATGTTTTGACCACTTTTTTGGGCCCTGTTTTAGGGGCCATGATGAAGCAGGTTTGTTGGCATTCGAGGCGCTCCAAGGCTTACCGAGGCCTGCCCGAGGCACGAGGACAAAGCGAGGATCACGGGGACTCGAATCTATATAATACTATTGTTGGGGTCCCGTAGCAATGATTGATGGTGTGGCAGTGGGACACTGTGGTGCCTTCTGGACTTGCAAAAGTATTGCTGTTTGTCAAAGCTGCGCCAGTTTTGGCAAAAAAATGTCACTGCAGAATTTCATTTTCGGAGCTGTAAAACATTGGCCTTGGACTCCAAGAAGTGGTCCTCCCCAGTTGCGTTGAAAAATTGATGGTCAAACAATCCCCAACTTTGATCCACTTGCGTCATGCGAAGACCTTTTTGTGTGAAAGTTTGGTGAGAGGATGTACAGTGTACTGAACCACCTTGAACCTACTTGAACATCTTGAAACCTATCTTGGAACAATGTATGTGCAGGTGAACAGTTAGGAAACCATTTTAAGTTTGTAGGAACCGATCTGTGAACTATAGAACCCATAGGAACCTATAGGAACCAGGTAGGAACCAATTTGGAACCAAATGGAACCAGTTTGTGCATGGAAGAGCTTGGAGATGGATTTTCGTTTGTTTTTGTGGTTTGTGGTGTTTTTGGATGTTGTTTGACCCATGTCCTAGGAACTTGATGTTGTGACTGTATTTGGGTAGGAGTTTTGTAGGGTATTTGTGAGTTTGAGCTGAAGACGTTTTATTTGGAGAAGCTGGAAGAACGTTTTTAAAGCTTGAGAACTCTTTTGAAGTAGTTTGAGAAGTTTGAGAACGTTTGAGTGTCACTGCGTTTTACTCTGCACGACTCTTCTAAGAAGAAGAGTGACTGAGCTGTCCAACCTGTGTGGTTTGGCTCAAGTCCGAGCTGTGAAAAAGAGCTGCCACGCCGCGCTCGTGTTTTCACATGGTAGCGGAGCCATGAAATCTCTATAGAATCGCTGACACCAAGGTCGTCTATAAAATTGCAGACGTTGACACTGGATAGGTACCCCCAAACAAAGGATGGCCCTAAAACGCACCATGTTTCGAAGCTTATAATTTTCGAGGAGGAAAATTTAAATCAGGATGAATGGTTACAAGCCCTTGCGATTTCTGCTAGGCAGCAACGTCGCAAGGCAAGGTCCGGAAAAGCAGCCATTTTGATTCACATATCTGCCAACGCACGCGCGGATGCCTGCGGATGCCCCTGCGGATGCGGGAGAACCCTTGCGAAGGACCACTGCGGATGCCAAAAACCCTCAAAAAATGGCCGCGGATGCATGTCCGGTTTGAGAAATACAAAGTAATAGAAAGCAACCCGCCCTGCGGATGCCCAATGGGGTGTGTGGCACATTGTATGGGGGGGAGGGGGTTTTCTACCGTTTCCTCCCCTTCCCTCGGTGACGCCTTCGTGTTGAGGAGTTCTCTTCTTCCCACTTGCGGCTTCCATGCCTCGTTCCAAACTTGGCCTTGCAATGCGTTGACTCCCCATCAGGTCTCGCCTCCCAGACTTGGCCCTGCCACATTCTAGGTTTTGATAAGGGGCGGTTTCTGCGAAACCGGTGCCTGCCACATGTTGACGTCCTCAAAGGCGGTTTCTTCCACAGTAGCTCCTGCCATGCGTGCCTCGGGCGGGCCTCGGTAAGCCTTGGAGCGCCTCGAATGCCAACAAACCTGCTTCATCATGGCCCCCAAAACAGGATCCAAAAAACCAGTAGAAACATGGCGGCCAGAAAGGGACCTCGACTGTATGGGCCTAAAGAGGGGATGCCGCCCCATCCAATCCACGGATTTTTTTCCGTCCAACGCCAGATGACTCTCGCCAGGTCGTTTATCAAGCCGGAAAGAAAATTGCATTTTGCAAATTCACCGAATTAATGCAGTGGCAACATCAGTCATGACGACAATGTGCATACAAAAGAGAACTGAATTGGATCGATACATAATCCATTAAGCTGTCACCGTGCAGAACAAAAAAAAGCAAACAACAAAAACCCAAAACCAAACAAGACACACAAGAACACCCAAAAACAAAAAACACACCAAAAAACCAGCACGGCCGGTGATCAGCTGATCAGTTCACAGGCATCTGGAACGTACTAGAAGAGATGATAACATTGCATCACCTCAGGGATTGGTATGGCAAAGGAAAACAAGGAGCGAACAAACAACAACACAAAAATGCCATACAGTAATCTGTGAGCCAGGAAGCAATAGAGGCACAATGCGGAAACCAAGGCTCACCCCAACACTTGGACACGATCCAAAAGCCAGCAATGACACTGCCATGTGGCAAATGGAAAGTAGAAATTGGACATAGTGAAACGTGGTGTGAAAACGGATCTAAGCTGAAACGACCGCAACCATACCGGGGATTTCCAGTGCTCATGAAGGACATCCTCGTGAGTAGGGTCAGGTAGGTTGGCGCAGTGCTCTTCCGAAGAAGTGCTAGATCCTTTTTCGGACGGGGCAGTAACCCCATCCAATCCACGGATGTGAAGGCAGACTCATGCCGCTGTCCTAAGGCGGCCAAGGTGCAGTGTTCCTCAGTGCAAAACCTGAGTAAGGTACCAGTGCAAACAACAATTCACTTGCCAAAAAGACACCCAAGGGGAGAAAAGAGAGAAGAGAGGAGAAGGGGAAGGGGCAGAGGAGAGAAGCAGCAAATGGCAGAAGAGGCAACCACAAGCCGCTCTAGCGGAAACGAGGTGGTGGAGTGGGACCCGTCCTAGAAGGAAGGCCGACTCAGCGTCTTATGGGAACCTAGAATGTGGCAGGCCAAGTCTGGGAGGCGAGACCTGATGGGGAGTCAACGCGTGGCAAGGCCAAGTTTGGAAAGAGGCATGGAAGCTGCAAGTGGGAAGAAGAGAACTCCGCAACACGAAGGCGTCCCATACAATGTGCCACACACCCCATTTCATCCGCAGTGGTCCTTCGCAAGGGTTCTCCCGCATCCGCGGGGGCATCCGCAGGCATCCGCGCGTGCGTTTTACTCTGCACGACTTTTCTGAGAAGAAGAGTGACTGAGCTGTCCAACCTATGTGGTTTGGCTCAAGTCCGAGCTGTGAAAAAGAGCTGCCACGCCGCGTTCGTGTTTTCACATGGTAGCGGAGCTGAAATCTCTATAAAAGCTAGAAGCGCTGACACCAAGGTCGTCTTTGAATGCAGACGTTGGCACTGGATAGGTCCCCAAAAGGATGGCCCCACAACCTAGGCAGCAACGTCGCAAGGCAAGTTCACATATTCTGCCAACGTAGTGACACTCAAACGTTCTCAAACTACTTCAAAAGGGTTCTCAAGCTAAAAACGTTCTTCCAGCTTCTCCAAATAAAAGTCTTTAAACTCACAAATACTCCACAAAATTCCTCCAAACACAGTCACAACATCAAGTTCCTAGGACATGGGTCAAACAACATCTTCAAAAGCTTTTGGAATGTTGCTTCTGCAACTCACCCGACACTTGCAAGAATACCTCGACAAAATGGACATCCCGAATTTTCGTTGAGACCCTCAATTCAACAACTTTTTTGGTTTTCTGCAGTCTATGCAATGCTTGTGTCAGAACGCGACCGACCGAGACAGAGCAAACCCCATTTAAAAAATCAGAGCGCGCAGCTCATTGGGTTGGAAAAGAGTTTAGATGGAAAATTTGATATGTCAACACAGAAGACACATCTGTGTTCACGTAGTTCGGATTCCAACGGTGAGCAATGCAAAATCATGAGAGATGCAAGGCCATATCATAACAAGACAAATAAATTTTGAATTCAATGTGGGCGACAAAGTAAAGATAAGGAAAAAAAAGTTAAAAACTGAAAAAAAGAGAACAAACGACTTTTCGAAAGGTGAATATGTTTTGGAAGAAATCTTTGAAACACTAAATCAAACACATTAAAAACTAACGGATATTAATGAGATTTGAATTGCTGAAAAAATGCAATTCACTTTAGGCTATTTTAGGTGAAAAGGTCTTAAAGAAATATTACCTTGTATATGTAAGAGGAAACGGAAAGCAAAACTGAGAAACATTTCAGTGATGTGACAGCTGGTAGAGCATGAGTAGTATCTGTTCTTATCTAGAGGATTGGCATAGGTATCACACACGTTTTGCAGTCACTTGCATGTTTTTGCATCTCTGGCCAAATGGCTATGATCAAGTGCAGAATCTGTCGATATCGAAGGCGTCTTGCGCTCAAGGAAAATAACGATGGTAGCGGAGCCCTGGGATCTCCATCTGCCTCGGCACCTGGAGTGAGGGCTCAGAGGACAGAACCCTATCCTCAGTGGGTTGAACTTCACCCACACCTATATATATATAGAGAGCAAGACCAACGGCCGCGCATCCCTGCTGTAGCCATTTCTCACTGCTTTCACTGCATTTGGGTCTTGGAGACCAACCTGGTGTGAGTGATTGGAACGCCTTTGGAAGGCGAATTTTTCTGTGAGATTTGAAGTGAAACAGGATGTCTGGGCCCACTTCTCCGACGTCTCAGGGCGGTGGTGATATGCCAACTATGAGTGAGGCACAACAGTTGGCCCAAGCTTTGATAGTGGCTGCCCAAAATGCAGCCAGTGCGTCAGCTGCACATACTACCTTGTCTCAGCAGTTGATGACACAGTTGAGTGCGCAAAGCACTGGTGATGCTCCAGCCGCAGGATCCCCTTCGAGGACCGCAAAGTTTGCACATGCAAGCAAGATGGTTAGGATGCCAGATCCTTTCACTGCTGTTGGAGCTGAAGCAGAGCAAACAGCTTGGCCTGACTTCGAGCTCAACTTGCTAGCTTGGCTTGGAGCTGCAGATACAGAGTTTGAGACTGACTTACAATGGATCTCAGATCATGTGGACACAGAGTTTGACATGGACGTGCGCTCTGATGACATGGCTACACGTAGCAAAGAACTCCACTCAATTCTGGTCGGTTTGCTACGCAACCGGTCTCTCAAGGTTTTGCGTGGTGTTTCAGGGCGCAATGGATATGAGGTTTACAGACAGCTTTTGAAGTTGTTCAAGCCGAGCACAAAGCCTAGGGCTATGGCGCTTTTGAGCGCACTCATGGGCTTGCCTACTTTTGGCAAGGACAAGTCCCTCTACGACCACATTCAAGGACTTGATCGTTTGATGTCAGAGTATCAGAAAGCTAGTGGTTTGAGCGTGCCTGATGAAGTGAGCCTCTCAGTGCTTGTTAGGTGTCTTCCAGCACACATCCGACAGCATATTCAGCTTTCTTTGGATCAGTCTTCAACATATGCTACAGTTCGAAGTCGTGTGTTGGGATTCGAAACAGTGACCAACAACTGGGCACCTTCTCGCATTCACTCTGAGTTTGGTATCATTGGCACCTCAGCCAACTCTGCACAGGATACTGGAGGATTTGCGCCAATGGATATCAGTAGAGTTGAAACCAAGGGCAAGCAGAAAGGAAAGAGCAAGTCAAAAGGAAAATCAAAGATGGATGCTTCAAGCCACAAAGGCAAAGGCAAAGTGAAAAGCAAGCTTTCAGATATCGGTAAAGGAAAAGGAAAGCCATCAACTCAAGTTGACAAGTCTAACGTTTGCTTGTATTGTGGGAAGGCTGGACACTGGAAACGAGACTGTAGGAAATACAAACATGACCAAGCTACTGGACAAGTGCGACAAGTGGAAGGTGGGATTTCTCAACAGGCTCCACCTCCACCACCTGTGAATCAGGGTTTCTCTCAGCCTCAGCAGTCTGGAGCTCAGCAACCATTGCAGCCTCATGTCTCATTTGTGCAGCCGTCACCACATACCACGTTTGTTCAACAGCCTCAGCAGAACGTTGGCAATGTCAGAAGGTTTGAATTTGCCCCAGACTGGCCTGGCAGACCAGTTGATGAGATGCGTGAGGAACCTTGGATCGATGACCTGACCTCAGACTCAATCCTTGGTGGCAACATTTATAGCCTTTCAGCTGTTTCAACATGTTTGGATGCTTTGCCATGCAGTTGCACGACGTTTGACATGACATATTCTGACTGCGATGGTGTTTGGACTGTGGATACCAGTGATGTAAATCATGTTCGAGCAGTTGAAATCATCTTGGACAGTGGAGCAGATGGATCAGCTTTGCCCATGGAATATGCGCATACAGGTGTTGCAACAGCCTCAGATGATAGACTACGTTTTGTAGATGCACAGGGAAGCCCATCGAACATTTCTAGCACTCGACTTGCAACAGTTGATTTTGGAGATTTTTCACTGAAAGAGGAGTTCATTGTGGCTTCAATAACTAGCCCTTTGCTGTCACTTGGCAAGTTGATGAAACATGGGTGGAATTTGCAAAAGGTAGACAACAGCCTTCATCTTGTGAAAGCCGACAAAGCCATTCCAGTGGCTTTCAAGCGCAACAGCCTCTGCATTTCAGGGAACATCAGAATGGTTGAAGACTCAGGTAGTGTCCATTTGCGTGCTTTGCAGTTGAGGGATTCATTGCAGCGTGTTAGAACTACTTGGACAAAGCTTGGAGCTGAGTGCTATGGTATCAAGACTTACAAGCCAACATGTGTTGATGTGAGCCTTGCACCAGCTGCTAGCATGCTGTGGTATCGTACCACCCTGGTGAAACGATCTGGACGATGGCAGTTGCATGAACACAACCGTTTTGTCACAGATGAGTATGCTGCAAGTTCACTCACAGCTGCATTGCCTAACCCTGGATCAGTGCAAGAGGTGATCACAATTGGACACACAAAGGAATGCACCCATGAACAGTTGGGATTCTCAGTGATTGAAGAGGCCCTGGATTTGTTGGGGCCTGTAGGTGGAAGCTCATCAAGTTCAGCAGCTCCACAACTGTTTGTTGATGCACCTGCGTTGGAACAGTTTGATGCCCCTGCGTTGGAACAAGCTGATGAATCCATGAATCCTCCTTTGCAGGTGATACCACCTATTGATGTGCCAGACCCTTTCGAGGCTCCAGTTGCAGCTGATGAACCTGACCCACCAGATGAGGTTCTGGCTGGTGCTGATGAGATAGTGTTGGATGGCACACGCATTGATAGCACTTCTTCACTTGCAGTTTTGAGAGCAGCTTGTTCAGCTTTGGGCATTTCGGTGAATGGTTCTCGAGCTCAACTTTTCAAGCGTTTGGTTCAGCATCTGCAACAGCAAGAGCTATTGGCAGCCCACTCTGTGAAACATAACTTGGGAAAAGAACTGCAAAGACCAGCCAATCAACCTGGCATCCCTGCACAGCCTACAGAAGAAGAAGTGCGAGAGCATAATGCCACACACATTCCTTTCAAGGCATGGTGTGAACTCTGTGTGGCACACAAGGGGCGTCAGGACAAGCATCATCGAGAGGGCCATGTTCAGTCTGAGCATTCTTTGGTGTCCTTTGATTTTGGCTATGTCGATCGTGGTACAGATGACCCTTTGACTGTGCTCTTCATACATGACAGGAGCACCAAAATGATGCACGCAGTTCCAACGGCAGCCAAGGGTGGCAAAAGCCTTCCTTACTTAACTCAGGAGTTATGCCGTTTTGTGACATGGCTTGGGCACCAAGCGGTTTGCTTTAGAACAGACAATGAGCCGAGTACAATTTCTTTGCTTGATGCTTGCCGTAAAGCTCTGAAGGGACTTGGAGTCCATACCACAGTCGAGCTTGTTGTGCCTGGGAACAAGGAGGCCAATGGTGGTGCAGAAATTACTGTGCAGACCCTGCGCAATCAGGCTAACCTTCTGATCGAGCAAGTCGAACGTGCAGTTGGCGCCGATGGCAAGGTGCTGTTCAGTGCACTGCACCCTTTATACAGCTGGGCCATCATTCATGCAGGATGGTTGCATTGCAGGTTTGCTGTGAGCAACGGTGAAACAGCATATGAGCGCTGTACTGGCAAGGAGTACCATGGAAAGGTATGTTACTTTGGAGAGACATGCATGGGCTACCTGAAGCCCACAGCCAAGGGACTTCCTTCTTGGCAACGTGGAGTTTGGTTGGGCAAGACACAAAACAATGATGCCCATATCATTTCCTGCAATGGTGGCCTGTTCATGACAAGGTCAGTGCGTCGCATTCCAAGTCCTTGGATCCTCTCAGAAGTTGGCAATGTTGAGATGTCCCCTTGGGAATGCTCATTTGCTACGTTGGGTTCAAGATTGATGGTGCCAAAGCGTGTCTTGAAGCCTACGGCTCAAGTTGCTCCGGCCCTTCCACCAGCAAGCGTCCAACCTGAGGCAAGCAAGTTGAAACCGGTGTTGGATGTTGAAGCTGAAGCAGTGAGAGGTTTGCCACCAACTCCCATGGAACCAGCAGTTGAAGAGTTGCCTGCCGCAGCAATTCCGGCACAGGCTCAGGCGGGGTTTGTCCCACAGCCTGGCATCATGGCACCTCCTCCAGCATCAGCAGCCCCATCTGGCCTTGCCACACCCATGCAAGATGATCAACAGGCGCCTTTGACACCTGTACCGGAAGATGAACCTGCGTCGAAGAAGGCGCGCATTTGTGTGGTGGCCGGTGTTGAATATGAACATGAGGACGACCACAACTACACGTCCTTCACCAGTGATGAGTTGGACAGCCTTGAAGAGTTTGACTTTGGCTTGACAAATGATGATGGTGATGAGCCTGCTTCTGAGGATGTGCTGGTGCAACAGCTGATTTTTCCATATACAGAGCAAGAACCACAGCTGAATACAGATCAGTTGAAGCACCTGGATGCCATTGCAATGGAGGTGGAAACAGCCCGTTTGAAGCAGATGGGTGTCCTTCTCCCTCCTGAGAGCGTTGAAGGAATGAACCCAAAGAGACTTTCCACCAGGTATGTCATCACCTGGCGTGACAAGGTGTTGAATGGCAAGAGGTGTTGGCTCAGGAGAGCCCGATACGTGGCAAGAGAGTATGCTTGGTTGTCACCTGAACGTCAAGACTTGTTCAGCCCAGCATCGAGCAACATCACCAATCGTTTGCTGCCTTCAGTGTTTTTGCATTGGAAAATGAAACACCCTGAGAAGCAGTTTGTGATGGGCGCCATTGACATTGGCGATGCTTTTCTGACAGTTGAACAAAAACAACCCACGCTTGTTTCTTCAGGGTCAGAGACCTTTGCTCTGGGGCGTGTGCTCCCTGGGCAACGAGATGGCAGTCAGCTTTGGTTTGAGAGTGTGAGTGGATTCCTCAATGAGACGCTTGGCTTTGAACATTGCAGTGCGTACCCCAGCTTGTTGCACAGTCCATGTGGTGAATGTTTGATTTTACTACACGTGGACGACATGCTTGTGGTGACAGAACAGCATTACTTCGAAGGAAAACTTCTTCCAGCCCTCAATGGGAGATACAAGACTTCAGTGCACTGCATGAAACAACCGGGGGATACGTTTGAGTTTTTGAAGCGTATCCATGTCCTTGTTGATGATGCGACGATCCACATCCAACAGAATCCACGTCACTTTGACAAGTTGTTTGAAGTTGTTGGGGTTCAGAACACAATGAACCCAAAGAAGGTGCCTTGCCATGAAATGATGACGGAGGTAGATGACACTCCATTGCTCCAGGCAGAGAAGGCATCTCGATACAGGTCGGCTGTGGGCATTTTGCTCTACCTTTCGACAGACCTTGTCGAGTGCTCATACACCATCAGGGGCTTGGCGCAGTCTATGAGTGCACCAACCGAAAGAAGTTGGACAATGATGAAACATTTGTGTCTGTACCTACTTTCAGTACGTGACTTTTCCTTGCGTCTGCAGATGAAAGTGAATGGCCTGTGGTACTCACCACCCGACGACAATGGAGTGGTGATTGAACTGTTTTCAGATTCAGACTGGGCAGCTCACAAAGGGCACAGGCGATCAGTCAGTGCTGGAATAGTTTGTTTCCAAGGTTGCCTTTTGCTTTCCACGAGCCGTACCCAGCGTGTGATTGCCCTGAGCTCTGCTGAAGCAGAGATTCATGCTGCAGTGTCTACAACATGCGATGGTTTGCTTTTGCGTGTTTGCTTGGAGTTTTGCATTGGATGCAAAGTCAGGTTGAAGCTAATTTTGGACAACAGTGCAGCCAAGCAAGTGCTTCACAGGTCTGGCGTTGGACGCATCAGACATTTGTCTTGCAGAGTTTTGTGGGTGCAGCAGCTGGTGAAAACAAGGGCGTTGGAGACATCATCCATTCCTACAAAGGAGAACTTTGCAGACCTTGGAACAAAGAAGTTGTCAGCCGACAGAATGAGATACCTCATGCATGGTGTTGGTGTGTACGATGAAAGTGCAGGTGAATTGGTTGGTACAGATGTGGTGACAAGAGAACGTGCAGCAGATGATGTCAGAGGTGTGTTGCGCATGCTGCGTGAAAGCATTGGTGAAAGAAGCAGTCACAAAACCATGGTTGCAACGAAGCGCTCTCTGCAGACCTTGTTGCTGCTGAGTCTAGTGCATTCTACAGACGCCTTGAGCCTGACGAGCCCAATTTCCTTTTCAGTGCTTGAGCATTTGCGACTTCACGGACTTTCATGTTGGATGGTTTCAATTGTGATTCTCTTTTTCATGTTTGCCTCTCTGCTGATTGCCATGCCACCACGTCGCAGCATGTTAGAAGAGCCAGAGCCAGAAGACATGGCTGGCAGTGCTGCAGCCTCTTCGAGCAGCCCTGCACCCAAATACAACAAAGCGGCAGTGTACTGTTTTCTTTGCATTTGCTTGAAACGCAGCTTAGAGCTGATTGACGAGGCAGAAGCTGAGGGTGACAGAACAAAGACCAGTGCACTACATGCAATCTACGAAGTCTTCATGGATTTGTTTTGTGCGTTTGAGCGTGATGGAATCTCTCCTACAAGTTTGCAGTCGATGAAGGACATGCATGGTGCTTTGAATGTGCATGACCCAGACTTCAATGCCAGTGATTTCATGACGATAGAGTTTGACGTTGGCTTCACCACACCGACTCTTGAACCAGAGATTGAGAGCTTGCTTCCTCCTGATCCACTTGATGATTTCTTTGCTGAAGAAATGGCTGATGATTTCTTTGCTGAAGAAATGGCTCCTCCATTTGAGCCTCGAAGCCCCGAGCATATGGCAATATGGATGATCCAACGATTGACTGAGAAATTGCGTTTTGAGATGGAGTCTGGAAATCCTGAAGGTGTGCTGAAGCATGTAGAACGAAGAGAGATTATGGTGAACTTGTGCCGATTCTGCAATGAAAGACCAGAACAAAGATTGGAAGTATGGAAAATGATGCAAAGCCTCACAGACATTTCCAGCGATGAAGAACCAGATGACTAATTAATGTAGGAACCCTCCAATTTGAAATTGCACATGACCAAAGGTCAGCGCAAAGGCGGGGTGAGAAACATTTCAGTGATGTGACAGCTGGTAGAGCATGTGTAGTATCTGTTCTTATCTAGAGGATTGGCATAGGTATCACACACGTTTTGCAGTCACTTGCATGTTTTTGCATCTCTGGCCAAATGGCTATGATCAAGTGCAGAATCTGTCGATATCGAAGGCGTCTTGCGCTCAAGGAAAATAACGAAAAACAAAACAAGAAACATGTTTCTTTGTTCTGTTTGCGATTGTGATGTGACACTGAAGTGCAGAAAAAACACTTGAACTCAACGAAGCATCTTGAAAACTTAAGAAGAAAAATGCATGAAGAAGACAATGACACAAGAAAATGCCGTCAGTGCCATTCAACACGGTTCATTGAGTTCTTTAGAAATGACAACAGAACTTGTAACAAATGCCTTGGAAAAATGGGTAACATTTGCATGGCCACTCACTGCAAGAATGACACGCACAAATCGAGAAGAGTAGTGCTTGTTTTTCACACTTCACACATGAGAATATCTCTGTGAATCTTGAGGCCTTGTTTGTTCAAGGAAAAGCGCGCTCCTGCTTGCATGGTAGCGGAGCCTACGGGCTTCCTACTGTGCTTGCAGGACTCACCTCGACCGTGACTGTTTGCCTTTGCAGCCATAGGATTTTCTGACTGACTGGATTGAGTTTGGACCTGGTTACAACAATTTTCACTGGACGGGATTGGCAAGGGATCAACAACTGATAGTTCCACCTGAAATTTTGGACTTGGGACATTCTGCAAACGTTGGGATCATACTATACAGGACTTGGCTGGATTCGACACAGCATTTTCCTGGCGTGGTCAATACAACTTGCAGGTTGGCATACAATTTTCAGGTGCGTGTGGTTGCAGTTGATTTACAATTTTCTGGCTTGTGAGAAAGGCTTGAAAGCTCCAGTGGATTTACAATTTTCTGGCTTGTGAGAACGGCTTGAAAGCTCCAGGTGACAATTCAGAGGAACAATGTCAGGTACCTTTGACCCGCAGATATTCCAGGCGGCGATCTTAGAAGTTGCAGAGGCCACCAAGGCAGCTGTGAGACTTGCCCAGTCAGTGCAACAGGCGCCTCCACCTGCTAGTTCTTCTCCAGCTGGCAGTCCAAGCAATGGGTCTTCTGCCAACATAGACTGGTCCAAGCTTTTGAACAAACCACCGCTCTTCGAGCATAAGACCACTGAGGATGAGATAAGGGCCTATCGTGATTGGTCCTGGCAATTGGTGCAGTTCCTGAACACCATAGACCCAGGGTATGAAAAAGAACTACAAGCTATCATGGATGACCCTAGCAATGGCCTGGACCTATCAACAGCTTCTCAAGAGACCCGCCATAGGTCAACGAAGTTGTATGGACTGTTGGCAAGCCTATGCAGGAACAGAAGCCTCAATGTTGTCCGTAGCGTGAAGTCATCAGACGGCTATGAGGCTCTCAGGCAGTTGACTTTGGCGCTTAGGCCTGCAAACAACAATAGAGGCTTGGCGCTGATGTCAGCTTTGACAAGCTGGCCAACTTTCCAGATGAATCAGCCCTTACAGGCTCAGGTCTTGAAGCTTGAGGATGCCATGGAAGAAGCTCGCAGAGCAGGGACAACTTTGCCTGATCAGTTACAACAGGCCATACTACTTCGATGTGTTACAGGACAGCTTCGTACACATCTGAATCTGGCAATTCAAGACACCACGACCTTCAAGGACCTCAGAGAGCATGTTCTACGATGGGATCGTGGACAACAGAAGTGGTCTGGCTTGATTTTTGGAGATGACTCTTCAACTGCAGTGCCTATGGAGGTGGACCGTGTTTACAGCAGTGGGAAGAAGGGCGCAAAAGATGGCAAAGGCAAGGGATCTTTTCAGAAGGGATCTCAGAAAGGCAAGAGCAAGGGAAAATCGAAGTCAAAACAAGATGGCAAATCAAGTGGAAAAGGCAAACAGAAAGGTGAGTCAAAAGGCAAGTATGGTGGGAAGCAAAGCGATGGCAACTATTCCAAAGGCAAAGGTGGTACTCGAACAGATTTGTGCCACAAATGCGGAAAGCCAGGGCATTTTGCCCGTGATTGCTGGGCACAGGTGAGACACATGCAGGGAGATTTTCAACAACAGAGCCAACAACAACAGCCTCAGGGATCTCCAAGTTCAACATCATATGTTGGTGGCTCCCCTGTCAGTGGTGCTTCTCAACCTCATGTGAATGCTCAGCCATCCTCGTCAGCGACCCAGTTTCGTGTTGCAAGAATTCATGAATTTGCAGATGTTTCAGTTGACTCGGATGTTCAAAAACATGATGAAGTCATTTTCGATTTGAGAAGTCCTGCAAGCAGTCCTGGCCATAGAGATGGAGCTGTGCGCACTGTCAGATTCTACATTGGTGATGACCCCAGAGATGCACCAAATGGTTCAGTGCGTGCAATTGTGGAAGACATGCCAACAGGTAGTGACATGTGCAATATCTTGATTGACAGTGGCGCTGATGTTTCAATTTTTCCATCTACGATGTCAGGTTCTGGAGTTGACTCAACACAGGCTTCAAATCGTTTGCAGGATGCCCAGGGAAACAGCATTCCCATCGAAGGGATGAAGGACATCGAGGTGCATTTGATGGACCAACATGGACGCTCAGTGATTTTGAAAGAATCAGTTGCTCTCAGCAGTCACATCAGTCAACCTATTCTCTGTTTTGGACACTTGATGGAAAATGGTTGGGGTATCAGTTCAAGGGAGAAAACACTGGTTCATGATTCTGGCATCAGCATCCCAATAGAGATGCAGAACAGGTCCATGTCAGTGCGTGGATGGATCAGGGTTTTGCGTGAAGAACCTCAAGCGCTTGGCCCTATGGTGATACGTGCAGTGAAAGCAGATGTTCAAAGGAGCCTCACAGACATGCGTGTTGGTTGGAATCTCAATGCTGAAGGTGTTGGCAATGGCAAACATTATGGCAGTTGCTTTCAGGATCCAACTGTGATTTGTCCAACAATGTCTGGCAACAAATACAGGACGACGTTGATTCAGGACGATGGACAATGGTTTGTGTTGGAGCTTTGTGAGCCCATAGATGCGTTGATAGATCTTGCAGCTGATTTTCATGGATATGTTGGTGACAGGTATATCATCACGATCATCACTTCAACTGAACAACATCCTCTTGTGATGGGTTTCAACATGTTGAGTGAAGGTGAAGAGCCATTGCTGTCTGAACCTGGCTTGGGACGAGAGCGTGAACAGCCTGAACCTGCAGCACCCTTAGCACCAGAAGATGATGAAGTCATTGGCATTGATGTTGATGACATGCAGCAACAAGATGCTCATGGTGCCGACATTCCTCAGGGTCAGGTGGTCATAGCCCCAGAACGTGGAGATCACTTGCTTGTGAATGGTGTTGAGATTTTCAAGGATACAGCCTTGGCAACCATGAGAGATGCCTGCACTTTCTACAATTTGTCAACTTCTGGGTCACGTGACAGATGTTTCAAACGGCTTTTTGAACACCAGAAGAAGCTGGAGTTACAAATTGTTTTGGGAGCTGCTCGAGAGGCCCAAGCTGCTCAGGAACGTTTGCTCAGGCCGCAGCACCTTGCAGAACCTCCAGATGAGGAGTTGCAGATGAGGCACAACCTGACTCACTTACCATTTGCAGATTGGTGCCCAGCATGCATAGCTCACAGATCACGCCCTGACAGACAAGAAAGGACTGGAGCTGTGAAGGACAGTGGAACACCAACTGTCAGCTTTGACTTTGCGTACACGAAGGCAGTTGGCCCTGATGGTATTGCAAGAAATACTGAAACTGTCATAGCTTTGGTGATGGTGGACTCAGTGACAAACTATGTTGGATGCGTGCCAGTGAAATCAAAGTCACAAACAGATGTCATGGTGCGTGAGTTGTTGCAGTTCACACAAGTGCTTGGTCATGGAGAGTGCGTGTATCTTTGTGACAATGAGCCAGCAGCAAGACAATTGCAAAAGCTTGCAGTCCGAGCCCGTCAAGCCCTTGGACTGCCAACCAGAGACAAGAACCCTGCAGCATACTCCCATGGCAATTCACTTTGTGAAAACACAATACAGCGTGTCAGGGATTTGGCTGGAACGTTGATGCACAGGTTGCAGGACAGATTGTCCACAGAGCTGAGTACTGACAATGGGCTATGGAGTTGGGCAATGCGTCATGCGGCATGGTTGTTGAATCGTTTTGCAGTTGTTCATGGAGCAACACCATATGAGTTGGTGTACAACAAAGTATACAAAGGGCGCATGACTGAGTTTGCAGAACCAGCCTTCTCCTACGTCCACACGGCTCACAAGGGCAACCCCAAATGGCAACGAGTGATCATTTTGGGGAAAACAGAGTCACAAGACACCTATGTGGTTTTCACTGGAAAGGGTGTTATGTTGTCAAGGTCAGTGAGAAGGATTGCAACAGATTGGAAGAGCCACATGGGCTTTTACGTCTATTTCAATGCCCCTACCTGGTGTTTCAAGACTGGCTTTGGCAGCAGAATCATCCCTACAAGGCGCAGTGTTGAAGCAGTGCCTGCAAGTGACCGTGCACCAATTGGCCCAGTTCTTCCATCAGCTCTTCACGATGCAGATGGTGAAGCAGTGCGAAAGAAAGCTCAGGAGGAGCTCAGGGAAGAGACAGAGCTGAAGTCAATGGAAAAGCAAGACCATCCAGCACCTGCACCACAACCGATTTTGGCTTCTTCTTCAGCTGCCCCTTTTTCAGCAGCTGATGCTCCAGCGGGTGAGGAGGAGTTGGACATGAGTTTTCTTGAAGATATGGTTCCTCAAGAAGATCTAGGCAATGAACAACCTCAGACTCCTCCCATGACCACTATGGCCATACCTCCAAGCCCCAGAGCATCTCCAACAAGCAGAGCTCACGATGAAGGTCCAGAAGAAGAGGATCACAGCGGCAAGAAAGCCAAGGTGGAATCTTCGAAGAAGCAAAGAATTGAAGTTGTCAAGGAGACCTATGCGAGAATGATCAGAGCTGTGAAGGTTGGTACAGATGAGTACTACACCATGGACAGCTATGACACTGACTACAGTTGGGAAAACGAAGAGCTTGTTGATGATGTTTGGATGGATGAAGACTCCTTGCAATTCAGTGGAGTGCCAGAAGAACTTTGGTCAAATGCCCCGACAGACAAGGCTCCAGGACCACCAGAACAATGGATTGACAAGATGGCTGATCAGGTTGAGATTTCCAGGCTGCTTGACATGGGCGTTTTACAAAAGCGTGATGATTTTCATGAAGAGGTAACTGGAAGTCTGACAACGCGCTTTGTGTATGACTGGCGTCTCAAAAGTTGTGATGTGGATGGAGTTCCAACCATGAGGTGGATGCGACGCAGCAGGTTTGTTGCGCGTGAATTTGCAAACAGCAAGCGCCACGACACATACAGCCCAGCAACAGGTAGCCACACAAACAACCTCATCCCAATCCTCTTTCTGCAGATGTGGTCTCAGCTGGAAGCCAGTGGGAGCAATGATGAAAACAACAGAGTGGTGCTAGCCTCCTTGGATATAAAGGATGCTTTCTTGCAGGTCCCTCAGGAGAATGTGGTTGAAGTACAACTTCATGGAACTTCGTACGTGGTGTTGCGAAATCTTCCAGGCCAAAGACTTGGTGCTCGTGCGTGGTACTGGTTCTTTCGCAATTTTGCAACAGATGCTTTCAAGTGTTCCTGGAGTGACATACAGCCTTGCATAGGGAAGTGTGCTGAAGGAGTTTTCATGGTGCATGTTGATGACCTCCTCTTCACAGGCAATGCGAGGTACTGGAGAGATGTTTTTCTGCCAGCAATGCAAGAGAAGTTTAGCATCAGCCACAACACGTTGGACTTGGAAGGCAGTGAAATTTCTTTCTTGAAGCGCCGTTTTGTGAGGTTGAGAGACGGTCTTTTGGTGATTCCAGGAACAACAGTTGAGAAGGTGCTTGGAAGTTTCGAGAAATACTTTGGTGCAGCAAGGATTCAAAAGACCCCATGTGATGCTGGTATTCAACAAGAAGACATGTCAAAGGAGCTTGGACTGTACGAAAGTGGATGTTACCGCAGCATCATTGGATTGCTGCTGTACCTTGCGAGGGACAGAGTTGACATCATGTTCACAGTCAAAGAGCTGGCTACAAGCATGTCAAAGCCCACGTTGTGCAGCCTCCAACGTTTGCGCCAGTTGGTGGGATACCTGCGTTTTACTGGTGATATGGGGATGAAGCTTTCAATGCCAGAGTTTGGAAAAGGGAAAAGAAAAGAAGGTTGTGAAAGTGAATGGATCCTTGAAACATTCACTGACGCTGACTGGTCTTCAAACAGAGCCCACAGAAAGTCGACCAGCTGTGCAGTTCATTTTGTGAACGGATGCTTTGCTTTCGCTTCTTCACGAACCCAAAAGGTCATCAGCCTCTCCTCGGCAGAATCTGAACTCCACTCAATGGTTTCTGGATGTTGCGATGGAATTTTCATCAAGAGGTGCGCTGAATTCCTCTTTGGATCCCCTGTCCAACACTTTCAATGGACGGACAACAGTGCTGCGAGGCAGCTGGTGGCTCGTCAAGGAGTTGGAAGGATCAGGCATTTGTCTGGAAAGATCCTTTGGATACAACAGTGCGTTTTGGATGGAGATGTCTCTATGGGACAGGTGCCAACGTTGATGAATTTCAGCGACATCGGAACGAAGTGTCTGCCAAGAGGAAGATTGAACTTCCTGCTTCATGAAATTGGAGCCATGGACCCTGCAACTTTGGAGTTGGTTGGTGAGGAGGAGCATGCAATGGTTGTTGAACAGCAAAGAAACAAAGAAGCAGTTGGAAAACTCATCAAGTTCGTCAAGCGCATGAGCCTGGTTCTAGGGATTCAAGGCCTTGAGCCTGTTGGCGTTGAAGGAGCAGAAGTTGAAACATGCAAAGCAACAAGTGAAGGAAATGATGAACTTTTGATGGTTTGGTTTTTCATGGCAGTGTTACTTGCGTTGTGGGTTGGCTTTGCAATTGCAGCTTATTGCACTTGGAAGCGGCTTCACAGGGATCTCTATTCATGTTGGACTCAGGTTGCAGAAGAAGATGCGTACGTTGCTGAACAAGCCAAGAGAATCGATGGCTTGGTCTTCAGATGCAATGAGATTCAGAAAAATATGGATGATTCAGCTGCAGAAGTTTCCGACAGGATCACAGAAGTTTCCAATGAGTTGAGCATGACGCATGACTACACGACTGGCCTCCATTATTCAATTGTGGAGCATGGTGGTTTCCTTCGTAATGGCTTAGGCCTTTCAAGGGAGCAATGGTCCCATCTGAATGTGCTGGAACGAGCCAATTTGGTGAGCTCACGTACAATGGGCTCAGTGGAATACATGCGTCTTGTCAGGCAACGTGTGACGCCTGTTGGAGCAGCAGATGAAACAGATGGAGCTGGAAATGGAAATGCAAACGAGTCAGCAGAGTCAGAACAAGATGAACCCATGGATGATGCAGAAGCTCAAACAGATGGTCAGCCAGGATCTGGATTTCATACAGTGGAAGGAATGCTGGAATTCTTGAAGCGAGAACACAATGAATGTCTGGACAGGAGTGAGTTTTGGGATGCAAATTCAATCCAAAACACCATTCTTCGATTTCTGGATGATGTGCGTTTGAATGCAGCAGAAGGCATGGTCCCCAATTGCCGTGCCAAAAGCCGCAGACCAAGGACGTTGGGACAGTGCAGATCGATATACAGCAATTTCAGGAAACTATGACGACTGATTTTGCAGTTTGATGGAAAACTTTCTGAACGGTTTGGCATGCAGCAACAATGGCTGCAAACAAGCTACTGGAAAGCAAAAGTGTCAGAGTGCAATCAAGCTCACACTCTGAAGGAGGAGTGGGTAACATTTGCATGGCCACTCACTGCAAGAATGACACGCACAAATCGAGAAGAGTAGTGCTTGTTTTTCACACTTCACACATGAGAATATCTCTGTGAATCTTGAGGCCTTGTTTGTTCAAGGAAAAGCGCGCTCCTGCTTGCAAAAAACAAAATATATAAGCAGAACCATCCTGAAAAAATTGCTGAATGGAACAAAACATATTTTCAAAAAAACAAGAATGAAATTCATTATTGTTCAAAATGCAACAAGCACAGCATGAAAGAGGCGTTGGTCATAAATATTTTTTAGAATCGAAAGAAAGAGGTGAAGAACAAAAAAAACATGATAGCATAACAATTGATAAAGAAGGCAATGAATGGTATGACTGCCACACCTGTAAGGGAAACATGTTCAAAAGTTGTTGGGCATCACATTTAATTGGTTCCCATCACTTCAAATGTAAGAAGCAAAAGGAAGAAGAACACTAAATCATTCAAGAAAATTTTTATTAACTATTTCCTTCATTTATTGAGTTGTTCTGTTTCTTGGTAAGATTATTTTAAAGGATATTTTGTTTGTTAGGTTGTTTGAGTTTGTTTTGTTTAGTATGCTGTTAGGATTTTTGTTGATGATATTTGTTATGATGTTTGTTGGTATGCTGTTATGTTTGTATGTTTATTAGGTTGTTGTGAGGATTTATGTTGAATATGTTTGTTATTTTGTTTGTTGGTATGCTTGTTTGTTTTTTTGTTGGTGTTTTTGTAAGTTTTTTGTTGAACATGTTTGTTGTTTTCATAAGAGACCAATGATTTGGTGGTTCAATAATTTCCCACAATGATGATTTGCTGGGGTGGTTATGAAATAATTGTTATGATGATTTGGGGGCTTAGCTAAGACAACCACCAAATCATGGGTCCCTAACTATATCTATATATTATGGTGATACTGAAATATTAAATCGATGTGGAAATAGATATCGATACACCGTGTGATACACAGTAGGTTTGGATATTATCTGTATTTCATATACTGTACTGTATTTTGACAAAATCTTTGCACTGTGATGGTTTTCTGTTTTTTTTTGGGGCTCCAAAGGCGTTCCCTGATAGTACGGTGCCTCATTTCAGTGGCTGCCTCATATCCGATTAAGATCTGGTCGCTGGCAACCACTTTTGCCCTGTCACAACATGCCCTGTCGCATGGAAGTTGTGCTGCGCTTGCTGGTGGCATTGCCTCTGTCCTTTGCACCCAGGGAGTTGCTTGACAAATCATCACGGAAGAGCTTATCTGAGTCTACCTAAGAGCTCTTAGACTCCAAGAGAGTTAGCTCCGTCTGGGCAAGCATCATTTGCATTTCAATGAACAACTCAAGCCACATCCAGCCCGAGTTGGCTCAAAATATGCATCGATAAAAAACAAACCAGACGGAGTCCGCATTCGATGGAGCCTTCTCAGTTCACTGTGTAAAGCACTGGTCTTGGTAAAAGCATTTTGTCATGCTGCTGCGCTTTGGAGGTTGTGACGTTCGATGGTGCCATCTTCACCTCTATACCATCTTTTCAATGATTTTCAAAGCTGGGAATTTGATTGAAACCGCTTGAAACTTTGAGATGTTATGAAGATTTCGATCTGTAGTGCGAGGGTTTTGCGTTGGCTGCTATCTGCAGAGTTTGTGCATCGGTTCATCCCAGGTCATTGTTTAGTAGTTCCTTGAGTGTTGGGATTTTCTTTCAGAGGATGACACAAAAGCACTCTTTATGACTACCACTTGAGGCGTACGGTGGACTGAGAGCCGTTATTAAAAGATGGCAGCTGATGGAAGAAAAGCTTTCCTGTTTTTGAGATTAATGATCTATCTTGATGAACTAATCAATTTAGGGTTTGTAGATCTGGGGAGTTGTGAATCTGAAACCAAACCTTTTGGATGTCACTTTTTTCCTGACTTTGATTCAAAGAAACATTTGAAAAAACAGGTTTGTATTTGCCTTGGGATTGTTTGAACCTGTTTCTGCTATCGATTTTCACTCTCAAGGAGTGCAAGTCAAACAGTCTAAGAGACAATCTGAGCACAGCTGTAGCAAACCTTGCTTAGGAGACAGATCTTGTTTTGTTGTTGCGATGTGGTCGCGGAAAAGAACTTGAAGCTTCGCTCTGGTGGTTGTTTGAGTTCACGACTAATTTTCAGCTGGAAGGTGCCAGGCGGTGCCAATTTTGGGTCAACTTTTTGGATTCCAGCCAGCCGTGTCCAAGTGACCCAATCTGTCTTATTGTTGGCGCAAGATATCTCGTGACCAAAGCTGTTGGCAACAGTCAGCACCTTCGACGCACAGTAAGCATCCTATCAATCTTCAAAGAGATTAGGAGTCTAAGATTCCAAAGCCTTAGCTCGAGTCCTAGCTCGAGTCCAGTTGCCCTCACCTCAAAATATCGCGCAATAGACCTGACTTTTTACGATTACAGAGGAATGTTGGTGGATCTGAAGTATAATTTTTCTCAATCAGCCTCAATGATGATCAAATCGAGTTGCTGGGGGCAGACATGAAAAGACAATCGTTTTCGAACTGCTTGGTGCTTCCATTCTCCACTTGGCAAAGCTTTGTTTGGTATCCAATAGCGATTATGCAACTCTCTGGTCCTTGGTGGATTGATGCAAGAAGACTTTGCCTCTCTGGTACTGATGAAGCTCTACTGAGAGGACACTGAGTGGCCGCATTTCACGCATCTTTCATACCCCTGCCTTGTTTCTTCAAAAAAGGCTGCCCAAAGTGGTTTGCCCTTCTGTGTAGTCTTGAAATTCGCATTGCGTAGTAGTGAACCTACGGTTACACCGCACTGCTTTTGTCGCATCATTGGCTGGACTAGAGTGCGTGTGGCCGTCCTTAATAGTAGATTACTGCACAAGGCTGTTGGGTTGTGGTTTTTGTGTTGGGCCCCGGCCCCGTTTTCTGTTGTTTTTCGTCTGTGGAGGGACGAAACGCAGTTCTGGGGGAATTGCGGGTCTTCGTCTCCGCTTGGTTTGTTTTGCTCTTGCTTTCATGTGAATACTCTGACAACTTTATCCTTTTCGATCAGATGATCAGCAATTATTCGCTGACTGCATGGTTTTCAATTAGTTCTGTGGTTTTAACTTTTTCTTACTGTTTCCTGTATGATAAGGACCGTGCCATCAGAGCATTGCGGCCACATTCCGAGGAAAAAAATGGCAGACTTCAATTATTTAAATGATGATCTTTTTCTACTTGCAGATGAGATCTTGGAGAGCTTGACTCCACTTGCCATTCCAGCGTCACTGGTGTGGAAAAAGAGTGGTGCGATTCAGATGAGTGAAGCCGTCAGTTTTTGTGTAATGTTTCGGATGTTCACGTTTTTTGAGATTGGATTTTTCACGAGCGTTTGACGAAGTTTTTTATTTTCAGTGGTTTTGACGCGTGCGCAAGTACGAGCCAGTCAACTGGTTGATAGCTCCTTATTGCTTTTGTTTGTGAGACGCAATGTTTCGTGCTCCTCTTTGTTTGCTGGCCACTTGCTGATCACCTCGTTCCTAGCTGGCTGTAGGGCCGTAGGGAACCACTCGAAGAGTTTACAACGCTGCCAACAAATCAAGTTATTCTTTTGCGAGGTGCGCGCTGGTTTTTACAACTGGATTTCTCAGTGACGTGTTAAAGCAAAGTATGATACACTGCAATGGATGGCAATCTGGAAGACCCATTTCAGAGTCTCAACAACGTTTCCTTCAACTCTTCTTGGTGGCATTGATGATCAATATATGTTCTTTGCATGCATGGCTCGATATACAGGGTAGGGTGGAGGGCAGCCTCTGTATTTTTTTGTAGAGGCTGCCCCACCCACCCAGCCCACCCTTGGTACAAGCGGCCGAGAATTTCCTCATCCTGATCAATTCCGGCTGGACAGTCATTTGTATACTTGATTTTGACAGCCAATTGAGATGGAAACATATGTGGTGGTGAGCGGTTTATACTCTTCTTGCTACTGCCAGTCTCGGGAGAGCGGGCATTACACTCATGGATGCTGGGTGAAATATACTTTTGCTGGCAGACTTCAATTCCGATGATTTATATGATCATCTTTTTTTGGCGGCAAATTGCAGATGAGACTTTGCAGAGCTTGACTCTACTTGCGATCCCAACGTCACTGGTGTCGAAAAAGAGTGGTGCGATTCAGATGAGTGAAGCCGTCAGTTTTTGTGGAATGTTTCGGATGTTCACGTTTTTTGAGATTGGATTTTTCACAAGCGTTTGACCAAGTTTTTTTTTTCAGTGGTTTGACGCGTGCGTAAGTAGCAGCCGCAAACATTAGAAATAATTGGCCAGTTTACACTAGGATGTATTGGCCGGGTGTCACGCGGTGTGGACGTGTCCATCGAAGTGCGACAGCCAGGTATGTACGTTCGCTCTTCTGAGGTGCTGTTTATCATATATTTAACAGCAGCTCTGGACATGGGCGTCGTAAGGTAATGTATTTCCCCGGTAACTTCGTCACGACGAAAACACCACGTTATTCTCGAAAACCTTAAACACCTTTCGGTTTGGGTTTAGGTTTACCTTGTGGGAATATATTCCCCCGAGGTATGTTTTGCTTGTCCCGATTTGTCTCTGGTGAATGTATTTCACTAGAGGGTGATTTTATTTAGTGATTTTATTTATACAGGGAACGTATTCCTTTGATTCGAGGTGAAAGCATTTCACCTAGGGATATTGGAGTGAAAGTATTTCGCGCCAGTTGTCTAAAACCTGTGGGATGTCAATTCCGTTATACGACCAGCACCTGCTATGGGGGTCCTCTCCCCCCCCACCCACCCACACCTAGGGGGGATGAAAGCGAAGGCCCTTCGGTTCTCTGGACTAGAAGGGATGGAGCAGCCAGGGTCATCCGCCTTGACTTGAATTCGGGCACTTGACCAAATAATAAAAAAGGAGAGAAAAAGGAAATTCAAATATCAAGTCCGAGGGATTGCATCTATTAACAGGTATGTACTACCTGAGATTAATATTTCAACAAGGAACTGAGTCAGGATGAATTGAGTTTTGTAATCAACTGGCCATATGTAATTTGGCCAGCTTACAATAGGATGTACTGGCTGGGTGTCACAGAGGTAGAGCAAGCCTTACCTGGGCTGGGAATGTAGGAATCTCGCAACCGAGAAGATGTGTGAACGCATCCCCGTCAAGGTCTCAACTGTGACCAAGCAGCATGCATGGAAAACTCCAATTTCAGCTAGCGTTGCGAGGATCTCAAACAGAAGGGACCAAGCGGGAAGCACCGCCCAGAAACCAAAAGGCAGTGTGAACTGCATCAAGTCTTTGGTGATTCTCAGTCAGATCGCCGCAGTGCAAGCACAGGATCAAGAACGTGAATGGGTTAACCCCATCCTCCTGTATATCCTTGCTTTCATCGGCTTGATGGGCATCTATGAAAATCTGTATCAGCTAGGCAGGCTGATCAGAGAGTGGTTTCTGAAGGCGAAGTCCCCCAGCCAGAAGCGGGAGCGGAAATCTAACTCCAACATGGCACTAGCCAAAGGTCAAACGGTGAGAGCACCAGCGGCAATCCCGCGAGCTGGGAAGACCCAATTCCTAGTCGCATAGAACGTTGGGCAGAGGAACAGTGGGTACAGAGAGGGGCACAACAAAACAATATGACCTTCTAAGAGCTGGTCGAATGGCGCAGGCGTGACCTTATTCATGGCGAAGAGCCGGACTCCAGTCAAGAAACCGGGATGCGGAAAGCCCCGCGTCTGAGCGGGAGCGGGAAGCACCGCGTGATGGGTAACTCCGCCGATCTCCAGGCTCGGCATGGAGCTCTTCGAGCAAAGCTCCCCAACTGAGCGGGCAGCTCCACCAGAGAGAACCACCACGTCCCCATGACCCATGGACAAGATAGAGTCCGGAGGATCCTCGGTAGCTTGGACGAGCCACATACTACCCTTGGCGTCAACACTGGACATTGGCTGCAACGGTCGTGCTTCCCATTTAAGTGCTCGGAATGCTCGAAGGAGACTATTTCTGTCACTTCCAAACGGGAAAGGATGAGACCGAACGAGCTCCAGCAGAGGTGCGAAGCCGAGGATCGGGGGATGGGAGGGTGCGGTATAGCTACGTCTCACAAAGGCTGGCAAACTGCACAGAGTAAAACCTAGGAAATAGGTAGTTGTGTACGGTTGAGCATTTGAGGTAGAGAAGGCATGCCATGAGCTCATGACCGCAGCCCGTTTTTTTGCACCTAGCCGTGCGCTCAAGGAAAAGGTGCGACTGAAGTGTGGTGTCTTGGAACTAGCAGGGTAAATAACCGAATAGAAACCCAATACACGCTGACCACTGCCATCTCGCTTTGCACTTTATCAGGCTCTCCACCAGATCTTCTCACAAGGACCTGTGCAAGCTCATGCAAGGACCTCATAGAGAGGGTTTCACCAGGATCTCCACAAGATTTTCTCACAAGGACAACCGTTTTGTGCGAGCCTGCGCTGTCCCAATCAATGCACATGGACATCTCAGACGAGGCAATTGACGCGAAATTTTCCAATGAGAATGCCGCAGACCAAGACCGGGACAACCGTTTTGTTGGAGCGTGCGCAGTCGAAATGCACATGGACATCTCAAAAGAGGTTGTTTACGCAAAAAAAATCAGGCAAACTGCTGCAGGCCAAAACCGGGACAACCGTTTTGTGCGAGCGTGCGCAGTCGAAATGCACTTGGACATCTGACAAGAAGCATTTTATGCGAGAATTCTCAGGTATAACACCCACATGGACATCTCACAAGAACAATTTTCATGCGGAAACCCGACCTCCGATGGAGCAGCCTGATCAAGCACCGGCCTTAGCCCTTGCCGTAAGAACCCCTAAGTGTGGACACATTGTTTGGGGAACAAAAGTGATGAGTCCTATTCACAGTTTTGAGGAGGGCCGTGAAGAACTCTAGATAGAGCCTACTCATGGCCAGCATACAGGCAAGGATGACGCGAATCAAGATGAAACGTTGGTGTGGCACTTGAGTTTACTTGGCATGAATCACATGGCAAAGATTTCCTGCCTTTGTGACGCAAAATAAAAACGCATTTCCATGCGGTTTTCTTTGCAGAAAACGCCCGGCCGCCCAGCTTTCAAAAAGGCCAAACCCACAGCCTGGCCACAGATCAAAATGGCAATCAAATTTCAAAATATCCCAGCAAACACGGGATCAGAACCACAGTGAATCGCGGTGCATCCACATTGGCGATCACTCAAGAGGGATCCGTTTCAAAGAGTTGGCCCTCCAAGGAACAATCCATCGTTTTGGCAAACTCCTGCAGTATGCAGGTTGGTTTGGAGCCGAGAAAAGGCGGCCAAGGGTTCTGCGGTGAAGGTTGCTAGAGAGCCAATAATGTATTGGGCGTGAAAATTTCCAAAATATGGCCAAATTCAGTTATCGTTTCGAACATGTTTTTTGTCGTGTCTCAACATTGCACCATCACCATGCTAACGTTGCAAAACTTTGGAAGTGCAACCATCGTGTATGTGGTGCATGTTGTTACACAGTTGGACAGCCTTTTGATTTTTTATGCAGACATTGTTTGATGGGTCGCAGTTTTAAACACTTTAAAACCAGTCCCATCGCGTGGTTTTCTTTCAGGCTCAAACATGTTTAAATTGAATTGTAAAATATGAGTTGGTTCCAATGGAACGCATTTTTTGAAAACATTCGTTTGTGCTAGAGATATTTTCCAGCCATGTTTTCCCGTTGATTTGATTTTTGTGAAATTATGTTTGTTTATTCAAAAATACATTTTCACGTGTGGCCTAAACATGCCTTCCAGAGATGGCGAGAAGTCCTGATTTGAGGATACACATTGTCCGATGCTCGCAAACAGTATTGTTTGTATGAATCCACAGATTTAACCAACCATTTTGTCCATGATTGCAATCCTACGGTAAAGAAGTGGTCGGCTGAAACCTCAAAACTTCACGAATCTTGGCAAATTTTCACGAAAAACTCGGTTGGATTGGTTTGGGTCTTGGCAAATTGGTTGGATGATTGACGTTTGTAGAACTACCCAATGCTGGGGGGGTTTCACAGTGTATTAATCAAAAGAACCTTTGCCTTTGTACTCCCGTGTTGTATCCTAAATCAATGGAGTCGGAGGTTTGAATGGAATGTGAGCAGGGACCACAACTTTATTCAACAGAGGAGGAAGGAGGTCATGTTATCACCTCGAAAACAACGTCATTTTACAGGTACATGTTTGGGTCCTTTTGCAACAAACAAAATCGTATATTGTTTGGAAACATTCTCTTGGATGGCTGAAACATTGCTTTGGACTGCACCAGTCTTGAACCATTGTGCGACATTGTAGACCTGTATCTGGTGAAAATCAACTTATCAACGTGAAGATGAAATAATTTCAAAACACATGCGACACTGCCCCATCTCGTGATTTTGTGTAATTTCTCCATAACAACCCCGGCTTCAAACATTGAAGGCAATATCAACCCGTGGCACATTTTTTTCGTTTCGTAGACTCTATATGGCACAGACACTCTTTTTGTCTGAGCCTAGGGATGAACCACATCAGGCTTTTGCTGGCCCTAGATTTCCCTGGATGACACCAGGTTCCAACCACCAAATGTTCGTGTTTCAGCACTTATTGAGCAAACAACGTTGTCAACCCTTTGTCCAGGGGATATTGATGCAGGTGAAGTGAATCGTTTTCCCAACAACAGTCAGAACTCCAAACAACCGGTGTGTTCTCCTTTTTTTTGCATATCATTTTGGTGGTTCTGGTACTTGGGAATTTGGCATGATGGTAGGATTGCCCCAATCATTCTGCACCCCCTAAGGAAATTTTTCCCAGTGGTTCAAAACACCAGATGTCAGTGCCAAGGATCCTTGTATTTCTGGCGTTTCCAATTGTTTGCGTGTCTCTTGGCAGTTACAACTGTTCAGTTGGGGCCGGAAAAAAATGTTCATTTTGACTGGAATTACCATGTAATTTTTTTCCATTTTGTTTGTGGTTTGTTCTTCTTTGAATACTTTCATTTTGTTTTTTGAAACCGAAAAGGGAAACCGTTTGTGTTGTGATTTATCAGTGGAAAAATCCAATACACCAATTCAAGCATGCGACTGCACAGTCGCCAAATGATTTTTTTTCTAGATTTAGATGCTTCTAGGACAAAATTTGGCCGGTTTGATGATGATCAAATGTCAAACCCGTGTATGAAACACTCCCATGAAATCAGAGATGGACATGCTCTACACATTGAAACATTGTCCTGAAACATTTGTTGCCCAGGACTTGGCCGGAAGAACAACGATGCAGAACCAGGTGCAAAAGGTCACAGAGGAGATTCTTGAAGATCTCCAACAGTCATTGCAGTCTCGCCTGGAGCGGTTCACCGGGACTCTGAGCAAGATCAAGTCGTTGCAGTCTCAAGTGGAAGAGAAGCAGGCTGTTATAGACTCGCAGAGGGCTTCCATCGACAGGCTGCAAAGTAGATTGGAGGGCTTGGAAAAACGGCTTGCGCTCTCTGAGACTCATGTGAAAGAGTTGGAGGCTCATAGGAAGGATTTGCAAAAAGACTTGCAGCAGAAGCAGGCTGAGCTAAGTACCGCGCAGACTATCATAGAGGACTTGGAGGTCGATGTTGAGGAATTGCAAAAAAAACTGTCTGAAAAACAGCAAAGCAGAAAAACTTCCTCCACGCAGACGCAGACAACAAGTAAGGCATTCAAAGAATCCAGGGCTCGTTTGGTCACTCAAGTGAAGAATCTAGAGAAGCAGGTTGTGCAGACAGAGAAAGAAAAATCATCGTTGGCACAGCGGTTTGATGCGCAACCGCAAGTGGATGGTGAGACTTGGCAATTTCAGGGTGACAGCGGCGAATGGATCTCATTCACTGATCCTTTGAAGATGTTTGGAATGTTTGTTTTTCCCCCAAGGTGTGGAAAACAAGAAACCTAAGTAAAACCATTTTTTTGTCCTTTAGATTCCAGGAGAATTCGAACAAAGATTTGATGGACAAGTTCAGAGAAGGCAAGGAGGTTTGCGAGATCAAGATAGATGGAAAGACCTATGACATCAGCTTTAAATACCGCTGGCAGAGGAACCAACGCACCAAGAAGGAACGGAAAATCCGCTGTTGCTTTGGTTTACCAAGCCACTGGAACGTCACAGATGAAGATGCGTTGAGGCTTCTCAAGGAAAGTCTGCAAGCACCACTTCCACAAATGCATCCCAGCACCGATATTTGGGAAACAGTCCAGAAAGTAACTGACCGAAAGATGTTGTCAAGCTTATCGAAGGTGCTGAACCAGTCCCTTTCCCGTCATGATGGCACTCACTGTGATTGCCCTCATGGAAGCTCCAACTTCGTTGTGATCGAGGCTTTCCAGATCAAGAATCGTCATGTGTGGCAACGGTACCAACGCTGTGTTCGATCCATCCGTGACAAGCACAAGCAGCATGGTATCTCTCCTGGCACCATCAGTCCGTTATTGAGCAAAGCCTTGAGTGAGTTTGCCAACGATATCGACGTGGACCAAGCTGGCAACGAGCGCCTTCTCCTACACGGGACGAAAACTTTTGAAGTTGGAAAAACCATTGCATCAGAAGGCTTTGACAATCGGGTCGCCAAGGATGGACTCTTTGGAAAAGGCACCTACTTTGCAGCCCAGACTTGCAAGGCTGCTCAATATGCTTCCATACATGGAATGTCTCAGAAAGCATCACAGCAGATGCCAGGGACCATGCTTCTGGCTCGGGTGGCTATTGGGGATCCTTTCTACACAGAAGGTCGGTGTCACACCTTGTCACGTGCCTTGACAGAAATCAACCATTTTCAGAGGCAAGTTGATTTCCTAGACTTGGCCAACATCTCATTGTTGTCTATTAAGTTATATTGTTACTACCCCTTTAAGGCTACTTTTCAGGGGGACCATACCAAAATGTAAGATATATTTTTTGCCCCCCCCCAATGTAAAATTGGTCGCTGAACGTCCCCGAGGTGTCGTTTTTGTGGAAAGGGTCTTCAAAATACCTTCAAAATGTAAGCTTACATTTTCAAGGCCCCCCCTCAAAAACACCTTGAAAAATGTAGCTTAGATTTCCGGTATGTCCCCCCCTCAAAACGGTTGTGATGTTATATATATATATATTATTATGTATATATATTATTATATATATATATATTTGTACATGTATAGTGACATTCCCATGTTCTCAGCAGCAGTGCTTAGTGCTTGTTGCATTTCAATCTCTGTTCCTGGGACTGGTGCATCATGAATGCAAGCCGCTGGAACCATGGCACCCTGTAATAATCTGGAATTGTTGTTGCTGTATGTTGCTATTGGGGATGCTGTCTCTCCAGGGCTTCAAACGTTCTGGGGCTTGTCATCCTCATCAGGTCATGGTGAATAAACCACGGTCCTTCACTGAGGTCACCTCAAATGGTGTAGCAGAAAGTTTCTGAAATGCAGCCGCCAAAATAGTTAAAATATATTAAAATATGTTAAAATAGAATAAAATAGATCCCAACCCCTGCATCGTTCCTTTCCACCGTTTTCTGCAAAGCTACCTTTTTTGAGGTCCTCCAGAGACGGATGGCCGCCGGGCTGATTCCATCATTGCACGGCCTGGCATCCCCAATGGCCAGCCTGGCGGAGTGCAGAGCCATATGGAAGTTGTGACCTTTGACCCAGGGCAGGCCTATCCGGAGTTCATCGTGAGGTTTACTGAGGAGTAATGAAATCAATGGAGAGCCCTTAGAAATCGAAGCTCCCATCAAAAATGATGGGTGCTTGCCAGTGGCAATCTCCGGTTTGCTGGAGGTGCAGAATCGCCCTATGCAGATTCTTGCGCGAATGCAGTGATTTTGACAGAGAGAGAGAGAGAGATACAGCTTCAGTTTTTTGTTTTTCTGGTTTTGATTTGGATCATTTCGTGCTACATATGTTGGGATGTTGGGCGATTTTGCACCGTGAAGCTTGCTGCTGAAATCACCAGGGAAAGAACTGTGGCGATTGAAATAGATGGCTGTGCTGTGCTTGTTTAAAAAGATCGAGCTGCTGGGGCTATGAATCAGCCCAGGTCTTTTGAAGTGTGGCTTGCACTTTGACAATGCTGAAAAGCATTGAAAAGCAACATTCCGTTGGGGGCAGAACTGCAGGGTCCAAGGCCCACAAATGCAGGAAGTGGCAATACCTGTGGAAGATTCACGTACCGACTGTATCTTCTCATTTTAGAAAAAATGAGGCATGCAATCCATCCTTTGCTGGTGACAATCAGGCAGTAAATTTGGAGCTGTGTCAACCCAGTGAGCTGTGGCGGTTTGAGCTGAACTACCTCTGAGTTCGTGATGTTAGCAGACTGTAACTGTAATATTTGAGGACCATCGTAATAACTATTCCATACTATCACTGTCTTATTGTTTGTGATGTGTAATTTTTCACCAGGTCAACTTAAAAAAAATCACGTGATCACTATTCTGATTGAATAGAAGAGGGGTGTACCGTAGAGGCGCTGGACCATTCGACCCATCGTGGTGGTTCACAGCTTCTGCTTTCCAGCACAATCGTAGCTGATCTGCAACACAAAAGGCACGGCATGTGTCTAAGGAACATGATATTATGACGACGCTTAGTCTAAACATATCTAAATCACATGGATGATGTCACAGAATAAACACTTGGATTCCTTTGAATCAAATACCTTGCTATTGGTCATTCAATCAATTGCAGATAGTGCATATGCACCTGGTATATGAGTTCACAATTTGTGCGGTTCACTGATGATAGAACCAAATGTGGCGACAGAGGCGGGGATTTATCAACATTTGACAGCTGTAATCTATGAAACCTATATTTTGGTGGGTAAGATTGTATGGTCCTACAACCGTTTCAAACTTGTTGAATAGTTAATAGTTCCCAACAGCAGGGCCTGTTGGGTTTCAATCTCTAGGGCTGGGGCTGGCTCGCGGGGACTTGCAGCCTTCAAAATCCGGAATGGAACCCTGGAACCCTGGAACCCTGGAACCCTGAAACCTTGGAACCCCGGAACCCTGGAACCTTGGAACCCTGCAACCCTGCACACCTGGCACCCTGCTGGGATCCTGGAACCCTGAAACCCTGGAACCCTTGGAACCCTTGGAACCCTGGAAACCTTGGGGCCCTGGTACCCTGGTACCCTGGGACCCTGGAGCCCTGGAACCCTGAAACCTTGGGGCCCTGGAACCCTGGAACCCCGGGGCCCCTGGAACCCTGAAACCCTGGAACCTTGGAACCCTGCGACCGTGGAACCCTGAAACCTTGGAACCTTGGCACCCAGGAACCCTCAAGGATTCTGGAACCCTGCTACCTTGGAACCCTGGAACCTTGGAACCTTGGAACCCTGCAACCCTGCACACCTGGCACCCTGCTGGGATCCTGGAACCCTGAAACCCTTGGAACCCTTGGAACCCTTGGAACCCTGGAAACCTTGGAACCCTGAAACCGTGGGACCCTGGTACCCTGGAACCTTGGAACCCTTGAAACCCTAAAACTTCCAAGCCCTAAACTCTATGCGCGCTGCGCGCGCTGCATGCAATAAAGTAAACCCTAAAACTTCCAAACCCTAAACCCTAATGCGCGGTGCGCGCGCTGTGTCCCAGAGAAGTAAACCCAAAAATTTCCAAACCCTAAACCATCGTGTTATGCAACTTCCAAACCCTAAAGTTTAACCCGCGGTGTGCGCGCTGCATGCAATAAAATAAACCCTAAAACTTCCAAACCCTAAACCCTAATGCGTGCTGTGCGCGCTGCGTGCCAGAGATAAACCCTAAAACCTTCAAACCCTAAACACTAATGCGCGCTGCGCGCGCTTTGTGCAATAGAAATAATCCCTAAAATCTTCAAACCTGAAACTCTCGTGTCATAGAGGTAAACCCTAAAATTTCCAAACCCTAAACCCTAAACCCTAACGCGCGCTGCGCGCGCTGTGCGCCATAGAAGTACCCCTTAAAATCTCCAAACCCTAAACCATCGTGTCATGGAGGTTAACCCTAAAACTTCGAAACCCTAAAGTTCAACCCACGCTGTGCACGCTGCATGCAATAAACTATAAAACTTCCAAACCCTAAACCCTAATGCGCGCTGCGCGCACTGCGTGCCACACACATAAACCCTAAAACTTTCAAACTTTAAACCGTAACGCGTACTGCGCGCACAGCCTGCCATAGAGGTAAATGGTTAAACTTTCAAACGCTGCGTGCCATAGAGACAAAGCCTAAAACTTTCAAACGCTAAACCGTAAAGCAGGCTGCGCGCGCTGCGTGCCATAGAGTGCTCCTCAAAAGTGATTACATGTCATACTTTAGTGGCATCCTCCAAATTCATTAGTCAGCCGTTGTTAATCCAGGGCCCATTTTACACATGTCATCTTCTTGGTCGTGGCGCCATTTCAGGATCACACTGATGACCTAAGCTTTGGCCTTAACTATTATGCAGGCAAGCGGCATCAGCACGCTATGGTATTGGAAGACACAGGGTTTGCCCGTAGACCAGCCAAAAAAAAATCGATTTTCCACACTGAACAATTTTATTTAACACATTTAGAATAGGAGCTCCGCCTGATTCAGATTTCATCACTTAAAAGGTACCCATGCCTGACTAGCCTTCATGACTTAAAGCGTAACCACACCCGACTTAAGGGAACCATGCCTGACTAGCCTTCATAATTAAGAGGTACCCACCCACGCCTGACTTAACAGAACCCATGCCTGACTAGCCTTCATAATTAAAAGGTACCCATGCCCCTGAATTCAGGGAACCATGCCTGACTAGCCTTCACAATTAAAAGGTATCCACTGGAACCATGCCTGACTAGCCTTAATGACTTAAAAGGTAACTACACCTGACTTAATACCTGATTTACTGGTTTTGCCTGATTTTGGAAAAACGCAGGGCCGGAATTTGCAGGGCGCGGGCCGGAATTTGCCGGGCCCGGGCCGGAATTTGCCGGGCTGGGATTTTGGGGTCGTGCCTAAATAGGATTTTTGCAAAAATCGTGCATGACTGAAGGGAACCATGCCTGACTAAACATCATACCAATCATCCCAAAAGAATCCAATAATTCCAGCAAGTGATGCCTGACCAATCACTGCGTCATAATAAACCGTTTGCCCCTCCCCACCCAATAATGAACACACGGAATAGTTTTTTGTATTTAGTGGGTATTTAGTATGAGGGGGCGAAACTTCCCCCTTGGTTAAAAAAAACTAAATTGGAAAACATTTTTTAAATAACATCTAACTAAAATATTGCCAAAATTGGATTCCGAAGCTTCCCCCTGACATTAAATTGAAAACATTCGTTTTAAAAAATGAACTGTATATTTCAAAACTGATTGAATTCCTATTCAAAATCTAACTCAAATCTTGCCAAATTGGATTTCGAAGCTTCCCCTTATATTAAATTGAAAACCTTACTAATCCCCACCTCCTTTTACTAAACGTACCCTAAATACTAAAATATTACATTGATTCCTTTTACTAGGGTCCGCGTTAAATTTTGGGAAATTTCAGGCTGGCCAGTTTGACTTTTAATTGATACCTTTTCAAAAACAAATTAAACATGAAGGTCCCATTTCAGGATTTCACCACCAAAAAATAAAACTAGTCAGCCCCGGTGATTTTTTAAACTAGGGTCTTTTAAGGTCGAAAAAATAAGTATTTTATATTACAACGTTTATATAATATTGGGGGAAATCTTCGAAATCCACTTTTTGGCATTTCCTGGCAATATTTTTGCTGGATGTCAAAAGGAAATCTAATCGATTCTTGAAATCGAAAAAACATAGTTCCCCACCTGCCAGGTGAGGGTTGTTAGATTTTATGTCAGTTGCCTGGTCCTCCTCGTCCTCCTCCTCCTCCTCGTCCTCCTCCTCCTCCTCTCGTTGTCCTCCTCGTCCTCCTGCTCAACTGCGACTCGCGATCCACAGTGTTCTCTGTCGGACCTCCACCACGACCATCCACGCCCAGTGTTCCCTGCCGGACCTCAACCACGACCATCCACGCCCAGTGTTCCCTGCCTCAACCACGACCATCCACGCCCAGTGTTCCCTGCCGGACCTCAACCGCGACCATCCACGCCCAGTGTTCCCTGCCGGACCTCAACCGCGAGTATCCATGCCAAGTGTTCCCTGCCGGACCTCAACCACGACCATCCACGCCCAGTGTTCCCTGCCGGACCTCAACCGCGAGTATCCACGCCAAGTGTTCCCTGCCGGACCTCATGTAGGAAGATATGGTACAAAGAATGTGCAGAAGAAAGTTAGAAAGAATGTCAGAAAGAATGTCAGAAGATATGCCAGAAGATATGCCAGAAGATATGCCAGATAGAATGCCAGATAATATGCCAGAAGATATGCCAGATATCTGGCCAGAAGATAATGCCCATCGAAATGCCAGATAGAATGCCAAATAGAATGTCAGAAGATATGTCAGATAGAATGCCAGAAGATTTGCCAGTAAGAAAATGTATAAATGTCATGGTGGGGATCACACGAAGTAAAGTATTTTTTTTTAGTGTTTTTAATTTAATCTTAGGGGAAAACTTCGAAATCCAATTTTTAGCAATATCTTAATTATATGTCAGACAGAAAACTAATCGATTTTGAAACAGTTTTTTTCCCCACCTGCCAGGTGAGGGTTGTTAGATTTTATGTCAGTTGCCTCCTCCTCCTGCTCCTCCTGCTCCTCCTCCTCCTGCTCCTCCTCCTCCTCCTCCTCCGCCTCCTCCTGCATCGTCCTCCTCCTCCTCGTCCTCCTTGTCATCCTTGTCGTCCTTGCTCAACTGCGACCCGCGATCCACAGTGTTCTCTGCCGG